AGCACCCTCTGAACTGAATCGGCCAGTTGTTGGCCAGAAATAAAACCTGTTTGGTCCTCTTCAATATTCAATAAATGGTTCATCCCATAAATAATTCATCCAAAATGTAAGTAAAGGGATCAATTTTGCATCTTGGTTTAGCAAGGTGATGGGACGGCTTCAGAATCCACACTGTGTGTATTTCCAAGACACTGGGGTCACACCACCCTCTAAGATACTGTTGAACAGGTGCTGGGAAGTGAATAAGAATAGCAAATTTAAAGGTCTTATAAAATTCTCCCCCCAGACCACCAGCTTTAGGCATTTTGCCATGCTTCAGTTTCTTAACTGCCTGATCAGTTTTGATTGTTGAGACATGGTGGTTCAGAAAAAGTATATATTCTGAGGTAAGAGGACCGAAATTAACATTATTCAAGTATTCATTATCTTCCTTAACTCTGGTGAACCTGTGGTGTTTAATTCAGAGTAAAAATCATCAAAGGCTGCCAATATCTGCTCTGAATGGGAATGTGTTTGACCCCTCAAGGCTCTTATCTGGGTAACTCCATTGCTAGTCATTTTCAATTTTAAGGAGGAACTAGGATCTTTGTAAGGGATAGAAACAATAAGACAATGGCAGTGTTATAGTAAAAATAAGGTGCTTGTAGTAGCTTAAATAAGTAGTATTGTGGCTCAGGACCACAATACCTCAAGGACCGCCTCTTTCCATATGTACCCACCTGGACCCTGAGATCATCTTTTGATGCCCTTCTTTGTGTACCTCCTCCTCGAGAGGTCTGGAGGGTGGCAACACAAGAACGGGGCCTTCTCTGCAGTGGCTCCCGTCTGTGAAATGCTCTCCCCAGGGAAGTTTGCCTGGTGCCTTCATTATTCACCTTTAGGAGCCAGGCAAAAACGTTCCTTTTTAAAAAGGCCTTTGGCTGGTTTGATTGACATCCTATGCCCTTTTAAAATGTGTTTTTTGGGGGGTGGGGGTCGTTATTAGGTTGTTCTTTTTATTTTGGTTACATATTTTGTGGTTTTCTATTTTGATTTTGTTCTGTGAACCACCCTAAGACCTCCGGGTATAGGGCGGTATCTAAATTCAATAAATCATCATCATCATCATCATCATCATCATCATCATAGTAAAAGTAATCTTTTTACTGTGTTGTTTGAACTTGTTTATGGTTAGTCTAATCTGGTAAAATAGTAAAAGCAGATTAAATAATTTCATGGAGGGTAAGACTATCTATGATTCTGATGTCTACCCACTACCTCAAGGATTAGTGGCACCATGCCTCTGAATCACAGGTTACTGCGGAACAGAAGCAGGAAAGGACAGTCGCTTTGAATCCTGTTTGTGGGCTTCCCATAAGCATCTGGTTGGCCACGGTGGGAAACAGATTAGCGGAGTAGATAGGCCTTTGGTCTGATCCTGCGGGGAAGAGTCTGGTTCATGAGGAACAGAGATTGGGTAGTCTCATAGAGTCCTTTCTCACAGAGACTCTCCTCCCTGCAAGAGAGGGGAGTGGTTGTGGCCGGGAGCCGGACTCCGCCTCAAGCAGGGGGCGTTTGCCCCCTGCCTCCCACTCACCTGGCTGGCGCCCACGCCCTCGGTCAGGCACCCAACCAGGTGCCTTCAAGGGGGCGTGTACAGCAGCCTGAATTGCTGCGGCGCCAGCCTCCAGCCCTCACTTTCGTCGTCCCGTCGCGAGTACCGGAATGATGGGGTCCATCTTTCAGACCAAGGGAATGACATTTGGTTAACTAGCATCATCAGCAGCATCAGGGATGCTGCTGATGATGCTAGTTGGTTACAGCTGTGAGGGTATTGGCGGCGAGCCCCTTTTGGGCTCGGGTGGCGGTTAGGCATTGGAATAATGTGTTGTGGTGTCGAAGGGCTAGGTGTGGCCATTGCCTGCGCCTTCAATTTTTGGGTATTCCGTTAAAGGAATCCGGCAGTTGTGTATTCTGTCCGATGCCTGCTTGGCGGGAGGCCATGGCACGACCCTCGGTGACATCAGGGGAGAGCCTATAGTTGGATTAGCATCAACAGGCTCCACCTACTGGTGAATAAACCCCCTTTGTTTGTTTGTTTGTTTGTTTTTTAGACTCACCCTTCTCCGAGTGGGTGGAGTCAGCTGACGTAATCCAATGCCTAAGCCAATACCTTTTCACTTGCTGTAATCAATAAAGTTGTGGCCTTTTCTTGCCCATTAACCTTATATCACGTGTCCTTGTGTTTCATTCCACTGCGCGGGGTTCGGGTCCTCGAACCACAACTAGACATTGTGGGCAAGGTGGCCTTGGAGAGTGCCAACATTGCTGCCCTTTGGGTTGACAAATAATTTAAAAAGTCTCAGTTGGTCATTATGTAACATTATGTGAGAGTCGCTGCCTGAATTCATTTATGTTCCTCTTCCCAATTTTCCAATTATATTGCATAATTTTGTTATATAATCATTTTCCAGCTGTATTCTGTAATTGTGAGCTGCCTTGAGTTCATTGATAGAAAAGTGGTTTATAAATGTATCAAGTGATTATTTTTCTTTTTAAATGACCAGCAATGTTCATCTGTGGGGCCTGAAAAAGTTTTTAGAGTGTCTCTTCTTCATAGCTCATTTTTAAAATAATTTTATTTATAGTTTTCATTTATATACATTTCAATAGTTTAACAATAGTTCTAACATTTCAAACCTTGACTTCCTTCCTCCTCTTTCTGCAGTTCCTTAAATTTATTTTATCATTTCCTGCATATTCTAAATTAACTTATTTTTTATTCATCTATTTTGATTATGTATTCTTTTAAAACTGCAGGTTATTACAGTAATCCTGCCAATGTCTTTATCTGTTTACACTTTGTAGATATTCAATAAACCCTTTCCATTCTTTTATAAAAAGGTTGTTATCTTGATTTCTTACTCTTCCACTAAGTTTTGCCATTTCTGCATAGCCCATAAGTTTTTGTATCCATTCATCTCTCATTGGGACTTCTTCTTCTTTCCATTTTTGGGCAAGTAACATCCTTGTAGTTGTAGTTGCATAAATAAATAAATGAATTTCTATACTGTTTGAGTAGTTCTACACCTATAATTCCCAAGAGAAAAGCTTCTGTTCCCCCCCCCTCAAATATTATCTTATATATTTTAATTAATTATATATCATTTCCCAGTAAACTTTAACCTTACCTCAAGACCACCACATATGATAAAAAGTATCTTCTTCCAATACTTATTCATTTTTTATTTTTACATTTTTGCCAATCTACTAGGTGTTAGGTACCAGCTCTATAACATTTTCATGTAATTTTCTCTTAAACCATAACATGCTATAAATTTTATATTTGTATTCCACAATTGTTCCCATGCTTCCATGTCTATTGCCCAATGTATCATTGAATATTTTACTTGCTCATCTTCAGTCTCCCATTCCAATAATATCTTATACATTTTAGGCAACACTTTAACATTACATTCCAACAGGTCTCTCTCCAATTGTAATATTAATTCACCAAACCCTCATTTCCTAACTTTCTTAAATACTACGTTCAAATGACGATATTGTATCCATCTTGTTAATATTCCTGATAAGTCCTTAAATTCTTTTAATTTAAACTCTCCTCCTTTCTCTCTTAATAAATTTGTAGAAGTTGCCCAACCTTCCATCATATTCTTTTTCTTTACCACTATGGCTTCCAGTGGTGAAAGCCAAAGTGATATTTTTGTCTCCAACAATTTTTTATATGTATCCCATACTCTATACATTTTTTTCCTAATTATATGGTTTGTTGTGTACTTTCACCTTTTCATACCATAAATAAGTATGCCAACCAAAAATATTATCATGACCTTCTAAGTCTAAAATATGTGGATTCTTCAATGTCAGCCATTCCTTCAACCAGCATAGACAAGATGCTTCATAATATAATCTCATATCTGGCAGGGTATCATGGCTCATATTTTAATACAGTGTAATAGGGCCATTAATATCACCAGTGCCATATCTGCCTATGCTACTGTGTCTGAATACAGAATCTGCAAAAGTAACTTTCCACTATATTTTGAGGCATATATGCTAATTATACAGTGAGATCAAGGCACAGAAATGTGTATTTTGTTTCAGTTAATAGGCAATGGTGTGGTTGAATGACAGTAGGCTAAGGTATTTTTAAAAGTGGGTAATTTGAAGTTCATTTTTCACGTTTCATAATTGCTGTGCTCTGTGAAAGATTTGGGCCTAAAGAGCAATATTTAAGCTCAAAGACTTGAATTACTTGCATATAAAAAGGCATTACAACAACAGTTTCGTTTTGCAAGTTGACACAGAGTTGAGCTCTCTGAGTTCAATGGGATTTGCTCCTTAGTGTGCATAGAACGACAGTCTTGCCCATTGTTCAATGCCCTGATTCTAAACATTGGTGTTACCTTATTGCTTTGATCCCAAGTTGCTTTGCTGTTCATGTAAGAGCCAATTTCTGTCAACTTCCCTTTGCACTGCAGTCCCCCTCCCCATTTCCAAGGGTCCCCCATCTTCCAGGAGCAGATTTTCAGGGGGTGCAGGGGGCTGTAGAAGGGAGGGAAGCTCCATTCTGTGAATGAACTTCCTTCTGCTCATGGAAGGAAAATTAGGATCCAAGCCAATAGTGTTATCAGACAGCAATTGGAGTGTGACATTTTGTGCAATTATACTGCTTTACATTAATTTTATAATCATGTCATTCTAACCCTAAATGGCTTTCATACCAGTAAAGTTATTGGGTCGCCCCTTTCTTAAGGATATATATGTGCTGGGTTCCGGCACAGCAAATTTATGGGATCAAACTGTTAATGACTACCCTTTGCTCTATGCATCTCTGATCCTTTTGGCCACACAGAAATATGTGAAGAAGACTTGGAATGCAGGATGGAAAAATTGGTCAAAGTATCCATTTTAAGTATAATAAATTGCTGTCATTAATGATGTGTAAATTGATGCCAGGGCAGGAGGCATATTTCCCCTTTATTTTCTCAGTGTTACAGTTATGGGACAAGGCAGTGCAGCCCTATACATGAAATATGATTAAAGAGATCAGTATTTATTCCCCCCCGTGAAATCTTCCTTCTCGCAAGCTGCACATTGGTTTCCTTTCTCTCACCACCTAGGAATCTGGCATCTGTTTGAGGGATTCCATTTTCCTCTCTCTTTCTCTGATTCCTCGTCTTTTTTTCTTCATTTGGGAAAAGTAAGAAAACTTTTTCAAAATAAGAAACAAAGATCTTGTAGCATTTTAGTTTAAAATTATTTTGGTTTATTGCTTTCATTTGCCCACCAATACTTGGATATTTGGCTGCATTTGAAGGGGAACTGGGGTGGGGGGTGGGGGGACGGAACCTTAAAGGCTTTTCAGGCAGAAACCTGCAGGTCTTGGTTCCAGAAGCTGAACTGTGCCCTAAAGCAAAAGGATATGAGGATTAAATTAAATGGGAATAATTAATTTTGTTGTTGCTGTTGCCGCCACTTAGGCAGGATTTGAATCTATCCAAGAAGCCTTGCCACAGGCAAATGAGCGAATCTCTCTTTAACATGAGGCGCAGTAGCCTGGATTTTTTAGTTTAGTTTGGTTTTTGTTTTGGTAGGTGAGAGGTTGATTTAAAAGGGAAGGTTGGCAAACAGGAGAATAAGCGTTGAAAGCAGAGTAGCAAGCTACTTTGGGCTGTGAGCTCTGATCATTCTTCAGCTTTACTCTAAGGAGGGCAGGGAGGAATCTTGACTTTCTTTGAGACCCTTGTTGCTTGCATTCCGGGAAGAGAGAATTATTTTTGAAGTCTTAACGACGGGATGCAGGACTTATCTTCATTAATGGGGAGACACGTAGGAGGAACAAACCTGCCTCTGTTCAGGCACGGTTAGCACCCGCACATCATTACCTAGGGGAGAAGTATCTGCTGCAAATATCTGTGTACCAGGGAGAAACCCAACCTGGATTCCCGTCCTCCCCTATCTAACTCATAGCCCTCCTGCAAAAGCTTTCAGATATGCTTTGATGAGTGAACACTCCTCTGCTTGCATACCATTTCCTAGGATACTAATGCTAACTAGTTAGGCAGCTTTGCTTCTTTCAACTTTTTCCGAATTCTTTCAGCTTTCTTTTGCTTTCCTCTATTGCTTTCTTAGTGTGTCTTAGACCCTGTCCAAATATTTTCACCTTAAGTTGTTGACTTTTTTTTACCCTTCATTCTCTGCAGGCTAGGGTTTATTCTCCATATCTCAATAGAACCCCATTTGCATTGAGAGGTCTTTCCCAGTACAGTATTTACACCGGATTCAAGAACTGAGATGGGTCATTTAGGAAACATGACTTGCTTCTTATTTTGTAGAAAGGGTTGTTTCTTTTTTCTTCTTTAAATGAAAATGCTATAATGCACCCAACAGATTTGTTTCCAGAGAAGAATAATTGTATTATGCAGTTGAAAAAATACTGGCGTTGGGTGTGAAATTCCATTGTTGAAATCACCATTTGGCAATGAAGCTAAAAAGTGCCCCAGGAGATTAATGAACTAAGTCTTCTACTTTGAAGCCAAAAGTGAGGTCGGGTGAGAGGGGTAGTATTCGGATTGGGACCATGATGATGGGGAAGTTGATATTTAAGCCTTTCCCCCATGCCATTTCCACATTTCTCCCATGCCATTGAAATCACACACATGCACACTGTGGTTTACAAAATGGTGGCCGTGTCCTGGGCCTACATACTCCTCCCTTGCTTCTTCCTTCACTGCTCACCAGCTTCAGCATGGAAATCCTGGCTTGCACTAAGCCAGAGATTTCCTATTACATCTGAACTAGGCAAAGCTGACTTAATGTAGATTAACAAACTGAATAATAATCCAAGGCACTCACCCACAGTTTCTTAAACCATGGTCCATGGTGCCGTTGAACAACTGCACCCAGCCATTGTTTAGCTACATGCTATTTTGTTGTTGTTGCATATCAAACATCTGTTAAAGGCGCACAGAAGTAGGGCACGTTATTCCATGCTCTGTCCCCCATTTTGGCTACTTGGCAACTATGCTAACAGAGCCAAGACACTTTTCAAAGTCACTCATGGGGTGACATTTAATGCACAAACGTGGTGCACTTTGGCAAGCTTTCACACAGGCTTCCAAACTCTGAATACCTGCCAATGGTTTACCACACTTCCTGGAGTAATAACTTTATATACCCTCTTTCTAAACTTAACGCAGGAGCCTTCCAACTTCTTTTACTCTTAAAGAATATTATATGAAGTAACATAGAACCAAGCAGTAGGAGGCTTATGTACACCTGAGTTGCTGAATTTCTGAGGCAGAACTCAGAATATTTCTTAGGAGACATTTATTTAGATAGGACAGGAGAAAACATCTGGCATATAAGAAAATAAACAAACAGAAATGCTGACCAACCTTAGATGTTAAAAGCTTCTGAATAGTCTACAGTTCTTAACCAACTCCAAGAAGTTAGCAATCAGTTTCCATTAGATACAGGTTTTTTTTCCTTACCGAATAAGGCCTCATTTCTGTGTTGCTTCACTGAAAATGCCAAGAAGATGGAAGTAGGCCTGTGATAGGGTTGTCACCTTTGGTTGGGCAAAATAAAGAACAGTGGAGTAAATTGGGGGGCTAAAAATTACTTTACCTGATGCAGAAATGACTTCAAAGCAATCCATTACATTGGCACATTCTATTTACAGTGGTTTATTCAATGAAAATAAACCCCTCTCTCACTCTCTGCCCCCCCCCCCGGCCACGCAAAAACACTCTTTTTCCATCCCCCCGCTCTCCACCGGATGGATGGACCAGGCCCCTGCAAGTCCTCCATCTCTGACTCACCTGCTTCTGCCTGCTCTGCAAAAACTTTATTTCCCCCCACTCTCCACCAGGCTCATTCAAACCTGCTTTCTTGCTCTCTGAGTCCGACCCATCCCTGCCCCCTTTGCCTGCTCAAAAAGGATTTCTCCTGCAGTGGACCATGCCCGTCCAACCCATAATATGTGGCTAGTATGCTACATTTGGCATGATGACTAGTGCAAGTTGTGCAGGCCTCCTGCATTCCTGTTTTTGGTGTAATTTCTCCTTGTGGATGGTTTGCACATCACATAAAACCATAGTTTAATGGTTTAATGCAGACAAGCAGCATTTATTCTTGGCTTACCACTTGTGTTTGGTTTAGAGGGAACAAACCACGAGACCAGGTTTGGGTAACGCGACAAGTCGAGGCTTGTGGTTTGTTGCTTCCAGTGCAACCAAGAAAGAAGAGGGAAGGATCAAAGTGGAAACTTGAGAATAGCGGTACACTAGTACACTGCTCATTCATGCTAAGCCAAAGTGAATGTAACATGTGAAAACAACTAATGTGTAGTTACGTAGATGCTCCAAGTTCAGGAAACTTTTATTTGTAGATTTTTAATTTTTTAATTTTATTCTGGCTCTTTATTCTTCCACTGTGCAAAACTCATCCAGTCCCAATTTCCCTTCCCTAAAGAGTGAACAGCAGTGTGGCCATGTTGGAATGCGCTCTTGTTTGAATTGGCGTTCACGGGGCACAATAAGCTTTTGAGGGTGTGGGATTTTTGGATGTTTTTACAGATGTGTCCTAGGGAAGAGGCTGACTATAGAGTACATTTAAAATTTATATCTGCAATGATGAGGGCTAGAAACAGCCCTTTGCATCTCCTGTTCTAGAGGAAAATTTATTACATCCTTGTTCATTCACTCTTGTCTTTAGACAGTGATTGATTTAAATACCTCTTGAGCATGAGGCTGTCTTACTAGTACATTTTACTGTTGGATCATTGATGGACGACAGTAACAAAATAGAATTTTCCACCCAGTACATTGTGATAATCCTTGCCAATGTAAATATTTTCTATAGCATCCATAGCTCCTTTGAAAATTACCTTACAACCCAATCTTGTTAAAGCAATTTATTATTGGGTGTTTTTTTTTAATGGTTTATCTAAGTATCTGCTTTTCCTTTGAGGTGTAGCATCTCTAAAATAAACACGTGCTTCTTTGCACACAAAGGCAGTAATGCTGGCATTAGGGCATGGAAAATATGCTCCTTTTTAATAATACTGTTCCTGTGTCCTTGTGTACTCATCAGTAACAGACAAATGGCATATAATCAATAACTGAAATATGACATTTGCTGAACCCCCTTACTAAAATTAGGCAGGTTTTCCGCTAATATGAGATCCTTTATGATAGCCATTCCCATAATTTGATTTTTGTGACTCTTCTTCCCCACCCATGCCTGTATTAGTTTATAAACTTTATTTTGCTTCCTTGCAAGATAATTGAACTTTTACTGGTCCATTTAACAATGAATACTCCTCCTCCTCCTCATGTAGTACTGAATGCTGAATATTCAATAGTGTTGAATACCCTCAAAGCTATGGCCCAGGGGTGGGGAACCTGTGGCATTCTAGATGTTACTGGATTACAGCTCCCACAGTCTTCAGCTATTGGCCATTTGGGATGTGGCTGATGGTAGCAGAAACTGCAGCCACCTCTGGAGGACCACTGGTTCCCTACCCCTGCCTGTTTATTGGCCTTTGCCTAATCAAACAAGCTCTGTTCTTTTAAACTGTGTGTGGAGGGGAGAGTTATTGTTTGTTATGATGGTATGTGTTTTTCTGTGTTTACATTGTAAACCTGTAATCCTTGGATGAAGGGTGCTATAGATTTTTTTTTTTAATAACAATTCATTTTAGTGGGCATAAGCATGTGCTGGATGTACATCTAGACGCCTCTCTCTTTCCCATCCCCAGTGCAGTGATGCCTTGCCACTAGAGGAAGCTTTTACTTTTTATTCAGCCTTTCGTTTATTCGAGTTTTGGGCATCCCTGCTCCAGCTGTAGTCAGCTGTCTCCTGTGTGTGTGTTTTAAAAAAGTAACCAATAGAGTATGGCTATCTCCCTGCAGCAAGACTTCCTGTCCTTGCATCCTAATCCCATTTCTGAGTGAGCCATGAAGGGCTTATAAACAGTTGATCTGAAAGGATAAATGTATGATAATTTTAAAAACAATCTCAGAAGAGAAGTACTGAAGAAGAAAGAGGAAATACATATTTGTGAAACTTTGGGTCCTTGTGGTCCCCACCCCATTAGTAGTAGGTCTGTTGCTGAAAACAACACAAACCTAATGAATAATGGAGAGCCCAAATGATTAAAAAATAGTTGTTCTGTGGCACAGATTCTCATATGGGCAGAACTCCCAATGGCTGAATATCCCTCTGATGAATTTCTATAGACTCCTTTCTCCTTGTCACAGCTATTTCGCTACACGTGGAATTGTCCTTGACTCTCCATACTTCCAAGTGTCTGCGTGTGCATACTTATAACCTACTAAGTTCTGTCCAGAATAGTGAGCATATTATAACCATGTAGATAGCATAGAGATAATTCCTTTTAAGCATGCTATCTCTCTCTCTCTCTCTCTCTCTCTCTCTCTCTCTCTCTCTCTGTGTGTGTGTGTATTTTACGAGGTATTTTATCACTCATTAAAAGATCATGAGGGAAACAAGGTGTTCAAATGACACTGACCTGAAATTTAAATTAATTTTAATATTTGCATTAAAAGGTCATTTTTATTTAAGCACTATCACACAAATATTGTAATAGGGTTGTTTTTTTTAAAGCAACAAAGACATTTGTATAAATCAAAATATAATTAAAAACACACTGATAAAATGACTACTTGTAAAGTAATAGTGGCACTGTGCACAGTGGCACTGTACAGATGTGTGACCATAGACTCACCCTACTTGGCATGTCCCTGCAAAAATAAAAAAAACATCAAATATAAAAAAGGTGGGGAATTACTGTTCCATTTTTTTTAAAAAAAAGATGTTAGATTTTCTGCAATCTGAAAAGCAAAATAAAAACAGAAGCAGTGCAGGACAACAGCAATTTGATGATGATGTCATTTAGATGCCTTATAAAAAGTAAGTTAACAAAGCATGGCAATTGCAAAGCAAACACTCATTGATATCTAAGGGTTGATTCACACTTTGACACCTCACAACTGAACATGTGGACTGTCTCCTTTGAAAATGCTGTATGGTTTTCAAGCTGAAACTGAATGCCGCAAACATTTTCTCTGTGTTGAGCAATCTGTGATAGCTCATTCATTGAAACATGCGAGTCAACATTTAATGTCAAGACTAGTAGGTGACACCAATGTATGTGCATGTGCAGGAACCAACAACCTACCGCCATTAAATATCCACCTCCCTCTACTATTAGGTGAGCTAGAGAATAAATAAGAGGCTAAGTGTGGGCCATTTCTTTTACCAGATTCATAAAAATCTTCATTTTTGAAAAACAACAGTCCCAAGATTTTTTTGCTGTAGAGTTTGATTTTTGGGAGACGTCTTACCTTTTTCATTTCCAGTAACACTGTTGCAAGTAATTTCATTGTCACAAAACAACAAAATGCCCTCACTGTTTCGTTCAGATTAACCTGATGTGTCCAAATCAGCATCTTAATACGTAAAACATTTAAATAGATAAGCAATGGGTTTTTGATTTTTTTCTTCAAAGCTGGACACCGCCAGACTTTATTCTGGCTGAAGCAGAATCCTGATCTTTGTCTTGTTGGGTTGGGAAATAAATTGGGCAACCACGTTTACTTGGGAGTGTATCCCACTGATTTCGACAGGAGCTACTTGTGTTCAGGATGCAGCCTTTGGCCTGGTTCTCACAGAGGTGGTTAATCTGTACCTGCCCTGAAGTGCAGGCTGAAGTGCACACAAATGCCCCTCTATAAAAACACATTTCCTGCACATTGAAAAATGTTGGAGAGAAATGTCCTTACCTGCTTTCTGAAGAGGTCTAGCCAGATGCAGGTTTATCCCCTCAGTGAGAACTTGGCCAGTGTGTCAGAATGAACTTTATTTAAATCTTAAAGTAGAATAATTACTGTGCATTAATTTATCCTATCCCGGGAACTTAGGAAGAAATATATTTTAAAATATTATTTTATTTGCAAACCTGACATGAAAATCCAGTGCGAGTGACAAAACTCTACAATTGCTTTGGTCCTCAGTCTTTTAAGGTGATGCTAGTATCACTACATAATCTCAGACAAAAATACTCAGAAATTCACCAGGGTGTCTAGTCAGAGCTTGAGCTGTATTTATTGCTTGCTCCGTGCAATGCTTTTTAAATGCCTTTTTAGGGGGGAGTTTAAAACTGCAACAAAGACTTCCTTTAGTCTGCAAACCTGATTGAGTTGCCAACCTTTGCCTTGTCCAAGATCCTGATCTGCCATCTCCACTGCAATTAAACCAGAATTTTCTCAGTTACTTAAATTGGTTTTATCGTCCACCAGTCTGAATTATTTGTTCTTATGATTCATAGGCAAATAATCTTTCTACCAATGGCTTTCCTATAGTGTTCTGAGTTCTGGAGATCAAGAAAGAGGTAGAGATGAAAGTAAAAAACATATGAGTGGGGATGGAGGTGGTTTAAATGAAGATGATTCTACTGTTGTTGTAGATGATTTTTAAAATATTATTTTTATTTAAAAATGTATTTTCTTTTAAATCTATATTTCACAAACCGGACAGGAATCTTAGGTAGCTGAAGTTGTGGGAACACAAAATCATTTCATTCATTCTGGTTTTTAAATTGACAGACACTTTACTGCTGAGTCCTGTTGTGTAGTGCATTGGATTACAAAAGCAAGATTTTATGTTGTGGGGTAGGGTAGGGGAAAGCTGGGTAACTCTTGGAGGATTGAAATAATAAACCTGTGTGGAATAGCTGGACTTCTGAGCTTATATACCAATGAGGGGGGGAAATATATTTCAGTGTTTCAGGTGCGAGAAATGGTTGGTGAGGGATGCTTTTCGTGTTTGCACAAGGATGTTGAAAGCTGGAAGGATAGTCATGTTACTCTGTTGCAGCAAAATCAGCAAAGAGTCTCGTGTT